ATCCTAGTGAAGATGTGCCTTAAAAGCTGTTGAGACATGGCAAAAAACCTTTCAGTCAGCATATGAAAACTGTGAGCTAGTATCACACCTGAGACCATTCTGATCACCCTTACTGGGCACCGCAGGGGTAAGAGGGCAGTGTTCCTGAAGCAGCTGAGCAGTGGTTTGCTACTTGTAAACCACTTCTCTGGCCTTCCGAGTTCCTCTGCATAAAACACACCAAAAATCTGCCATTGCGGGCAGCCCGGGTGGCTCAGCGGTTTAGCACCATCTTCGGCCCAGGGCCTGATCCTGGAGACCTGGGATTGAGTCCCATGTCAGGCTCCTTGAATGGAAACTGCCCCTCTCTCTCTGTCTCTGTGTGTCTCTCATGAACAAATAAATAATAAAATCTTTAAAAAAAAAGTCTGCCATTGCCACCTTCACCAAAATTGCTATCAGCAGTGTGAATATCCCAAAACATTTCACTGATGCTTACTTCAAGAAGTCAGCAGTTGCATAAACCCAGACACCAGGAAAGTGAGATCTTTGACACAGAGGAGAAATATGAGATTAAAGAGCAGCACAAGGTTGATCAGAAAGCTGTGGACTCGAAAATTCTGCCAAAAATCAAAGTGGTTCCTCAGCTTCAGGGCTACCTCTGCTCTGTTTTCTCTCATAAATGGAGTTTATCCTCACAAATTGGTATTCTAAATTTCTTACAAAGAACCTAATTAATTAAATAACTGATCCATTAAAATGTTTGTGCATCAAAGGACACTATCAAGAAGGTAAAAAGGCAACCCACAGAATGGGAGAAAATATTTATAAATTATATATCTAATAATGGTCCAGTATCCAGACTATATAAAGAACTCTTACAACAACAAAAAAGAGAAAAAACAAGCAAACAAAAACAATTAAAAAATAGACAAGAGATTTCTCCATGGAAGATATACATGTGCCCAATAAACATATTAAAAGATCCTCAACATCATGAGTCATTAGGGAAATACAAACCAAACCACAATGAGATACTACTTCATGCCCACGAGGGTGACTATATTTAGAGAGAGAGAGAGAGAGAGAGAGAGAGAGAGGAAGAAAAGGAAAGAAAACAAAAAGAACAAGTGTTGGTGAGAATGTGGAGAAACTGGAACCCAAAGCATTGAGGGTTACTATGTTAAATGGAACAGCTACTATAGAAGATTGTTCTCAAAAAGTTAAACAGTTCTACTCCAGGGCATACCCAAGAACTGAATACAGGTGTTCAAATAAAAGTTTATAATGAATGTTCACAGCAGCACTATTCACAATAGCCAAAGAGAGGAAACAACCCAAATGTCCATCAACTGATGAAAGGATGAACAAATTGTGGCAAATCTATACAACAAAATATTCAGCCACAAAAAGGAATAAAATAAAGTACTGATAGTACAACACTGTTGAACCTTGAAAACCTCATGCTATGTGAAAGAAGTCAGACAAAAGGCTACATATTGTATAATTTCATTTATATGAATATCCAGAATAGGCAAATACATAGAAAACAGATCAGATATTACCAGGGCCTGGTGGGAGGGGGAAATAGGGAATGACTGCTTAATGGGTATAGGGTCTCCTTTTGGGGTAATGAAAATGTTCTAGAACTAAATAGTGGTGATGGCTGCAAAACACTGGGTGTGCTAAAAGCCACTGAATTATATACATTAAAATGGTTAGAGGGGATCCCTGGGTGGCACAGCGGTTTGGTGCCTGCCTTTGGCCCAGGGTGCGATCCTGGAGACCCGGGATCGAATCCCACGTCAGGCTCCCGGTGCATGGAGCCTGCTTCTCCCTCTGCCTATGTCTCTGTCTCTCTCTCTCTCTCTCTCTCTCTCTCTCTCTTTGTGACTATCATAAATAAATAAAAATAATAAAATAAATAAAAAATGGTTAGAATAGTGAATTTTTTTAAGTTTTTTTTTTTTTTTTTTTTTTAATATACTTGAGAGAGAGAGAGAGCATGAGCGGGAGGGGCAGAAGGAGGAGAGAGAATCTGAAACAGACTCTGTGCTGAAGAGCAGAGCCTGACGTGGGGCTTGATCTCAGTACCTCAGGATCATGACCTGAGCTGAAACGGAGAATTGGCCGCTTAACCAACTGCACCATTCAGGTGACCCATAGAATAGTGAATTTCTTTATGTGAAATTGTACTCAATAAAAAATAAAATTCTATTCTTCTTCTACATAGTATCTAAAAACATTTTTATGTCTTGAGCTTTTCCTCTCAGGAGAGTGAGCAACAGTGGTTACCAACAGGAGTTTTAGAGTTTACAAAACACTTTGCCATAGAATCTTACATAATCTTCACAACTCATGAGGTAGATACCACCCCAACCTAGAGATAAGAAAAACAGGCTCAGAGAGTCATATAGCTACAAAGTGAGACAGCTGACTAATCAAGATTAGGCTGGCTCCATCGTATTATACTGTTTACAAGGCAAATAGCTCCAACTTCTGATAAGCTTGAAAAAGGGTAGGAGAGGTTACTGTATCTGTGCATCTTGGGCAGCTTTTCTTCTTCCAAAGTTAGTATTTAAATTAAAGTAGTAAAAATATTCATTGTACACAAATTAATAAAAGTTTTTAAAAAAACAATCTAGATCATCACTGTATAACAACAGCATAAAGCGGATATTATAGATTTTCTTTTTCAATTTTTGCAAGATAAGGTTTTAAGTTTCTCAGTACAAGGTATTTTATAATGTTAGCATGTCTGCTCACCAGCGAAGTTCAACATAATGTTTATAGGGTATGGCAGTAAAGTAATGAGATAATTGTGCGTGTTCCTTATATAACTGGCTGCATTAAGTTAGTCACATTTCCTATTAAGGATTAACAAGTGAATGACATTATCATTGGGTTTTCTAACATTCTGATAACTCCTATATGTTCCTAAGAAGCAGAGGAGTTAGGGTTACCCAGCTCTCTATCAATCAAAGCAGCCTCTTTAATTATTTTCCATACTGGGTTTTTCCTTAAGATATTATTTGAAGAAAGGATTCCACAGTTTCTTTAAAAATACTTATTGAAAACCACTGTAGTACATACATGTAGCTTACTTCCTTTAGAGGTTTTTAAGAATCTTTGCAGATTACTCAACATTATGTATTAAGCTTATCTCTAAATACCAGCATAGAAATACCAAGGGGGCTCTCACTCTACACTTGGTTTATGAGTGGTCTTATTTTTCCAGGCTCTATTCAACATTCTTGGTTATCCCCATTCTAGAGAATATGCACTATATTAACACACTGACAAACAAGTGACTTATCTCAGATAACAGGGCAAAGCATGACCAGGGTCCAGACGTGAAGCCCCACCTCAGGTGGCTTAGCCTGCTGTATGGTCTCCAGTTCAAAAAGTCTTGTTGTAGGGCAGCCCCGGTGGTGCAGCGGTTTAGTGCCGCCTGCAGCCCAGGGCATGATCCTGGAGACCCTGGATTGAGTCCCAGGTCAGGCTCTCTGCATGGAGCCTGCTTCTCCCTCTGCCTGTGTCTTTGCCTCTCATTCTCTCTCTGTGTCTCTATGAATAAATAAATAAAATCTAAAAAAAAAAAAAAAAAGTCTTGGTGTAATGTGGTCCATCAGTGCACTGTGACCTGAAGGTACAGATGTCTCTGTTTGTGGTGCATAGCAACACTTGAGCTGGCTATAAGCCAGTTATGTTCAGAACTTGTATCTGCTCAAGGGCAAAGATTATCCTCTCTTCCTCCTATGCTCCAGGTTATCTCTCAGTTCCCTTGATGAAAAACCCTTTCCAGGAGCAATATATGTACAACAGAAATTATGAAATATGAAACAGAAGACCTGGGTTCAAATTCTGGCTCTATTAGTATTCCTTTCACGACTCCAACTCCCTGGACCTGTTTGTTCCTGGTATTTACCTCTGGTAATCAGGAGGATTAAATGAAATAATGCAGCAGTTCACATCATGTGGGCTACAGATCCCTGGGCATGTCTGACCATATTACCAGAGGTCTGAAAAAGCATATACTAGAGAAAAAGAACCACTTAGGGATTAAGATTAAAAACTCTGGAGTACAACTGTCTGGGTTCAAATAATAGTTTTATCACTGGAGCAAATTAGTTTTCCTGTCTCAGTTCCTCATTTATAATTAGAGAAAACATTACCTTACTGAATTATTATAAGGATTAGCTAAAGTCCACACTTGTGAGGTACTTAGAACAGTGACTGGCAGAGTGAGAATTTAATAAATGTTAGCTATTGTTACTATTATATATATGCTTGTATATTCTATACAAAGTATTATTCACATCGAAGTTTGCCAAGTTTATGTTAAAGGGTTGTTATTTTTGTAAAGGTTAAAAACTTCTAAGAAAATAGTCGCAAAAAAAATCCAGTATACTACACCTGTCATGTCCTAATCCAGAATGCTTGAATCTATGATTTTAATCTTCTCAAATCAATAACCCTTGTTTTGTGGCCTAACATATGTTCTTTTCTGGAAAATGGTCCATGTACACTGGAGAAAACTATGTATTCTGCTATTATTGGGGGTAGTATATGTCCTGGGTGTCTGTTAGTTCTAACTGGCTTATAATGTTGCTCAAGTCCTTTATTAACTATTGATATCCTATCTGGTTGTTCTATCCATTAGTGAAAGTCAAGTACTGAACTCTGCAACCATTATTAAAGAACTGTCTATTCCTCTTCAATTCTGTCAATTTTTGTTTCACATAGAACATCTCCTTCATGGATCGGTCCCAAAATGTTTAAAAGGGAAGATCTACTTTTCTGGCCATGAAAGTAGTCTCAGGTTCTATCTGTATTTTCACCAAATGAATTATGTGTCTCTTAAACACACACCCACCATACACTATTCACTATTCATACATAATGTTTATCATTGTCTGTTCCCTGCCTATATGCAGCCTGGGTTAGGCTGGACCCTAGAATACTTAGGAAGGGTCTCTTTTGATAACTGTCAGAAAAAGAAGTGAGAGGCAGTGGCTTACATTGTAGGAGCGGGGGTGCCTCTGTTTCCACTGCACCAGGAGTAGCTGGGCCACCACCAAAGTAGCGATGAGGATGAGGACCATTTCAGCGTGCATGGCTTCGTGGCCGCGGTGCTTGGCATGCATGCGTGCGTGTTCAACCCTGAAAGCCAAACAGATGAGGTGAGGCAGGTCAGGAAAGAAGTGCTGATAAAAGGGCAGTGCTTTCCAGAGATATCCTACCAGTCCATAACTCAGAACATATTCTTATGCTTTGCAGCTGCAGGGTACTGTACAAATTAGGGGCTAGGAAAACACTCACCTGAGAGAACAGGCATTTGGGGACATAACAGGGACTCTGTGGGCCCCAGTCAGGAGCTCAGCTATTAAAGATGGGTTGTTTGCTGCCCATCCTCAAGAGCAAAAACAGCTGACACTTGTCCTATATAGGAAACAGGACCCAGGAGAAGCCTGCTGTCATTGCCCATTTCAGCCCTATTTCAACCTGTCACTAGAAGAAGAAAGTAACCCAGAGATAAGGGGATAACCATAAAGTCTCATACTCTTAGTCAATAATATTTATGAGACCAATAAAGAAGTACTATTGCAGACGTGTACTAATTCAAAGGTTAAAATCTTGCTTTGTTTGTCCTATCCTGTCTGTCAGGACCAGGACTGTTCCTGACTAAAGCCTGAAAAATCTAGACTGCTTTAACCTTATACTAATCCAACAGTGTCTTTGCCATCAGCATCCACAGGTAAATAGTCTCCTCAAGGGCTTAAGGTAGAGTACAGCTGGAAACTCTTATTTAACCTAAGGTTGGCATTCTCTGGTCCAGAGGACTGGCAACAAATGATTCTCTTGGCCAATATCTGCCTCTAAGAATAGAGTCAGAGTTAGCTAACAGAGAGAAACGAGGAAGAAGTTAGAAAACTAAATATAAATATAGCCTGTAGTCAGGATCTTTTATGGAAATTCTCTATACACGGGGGTATTAGGGAGAGAAGGAAAGGACAACATAAATGCTATCTTCGTAGAATACCCAATGGCAATGACAGACTATGCAAGAAGAGCCCAGTGGGATGAATTACAGATTAATGATAAAGCAAATATAGCAAAAAGCTAATTGTAGAATCTAGGTAGTGGACATAAAGGTGTTTATAATTTTTTCAATTTTTCTGAGATTTTTTTACAATAAAATATTAGGGAGGAAACATGGTGGCGGGGATTGGCAGCCAAATGTCAGCAGCCAGCCACAGCACCTAAGGATTCATTTTATATAAACTCATCCAGGGTGGGAGAATATTATAAAAAGATAATATGTAGGAGTCAGAAACTTAGGTTCAGACATCCATGTGACCTTGGCCAAGAAAATTCACATCTCTACACCACAATTTCCTCATCTGTCACAAGTAGTCCATATCTTGGCTGCCTCCCTCGGAGGGTTGTTGTAAGGATAAACTAAACTAAAAGGGCAAAGGACACTTTAAAAGCCTAATGACTGTGGGGAGTTATAAAGATAACAGATAAATTTCTTATTCTTAGCATGTACTGAATAGATGTATACAATAAAAAAAGAAAGAAAGAAAGAAAGAAAGAAAGAAAGAAAGAAAGAAAGAAAGAAAGAAAGAAAGAAATATGGAGAAAAGACCAGAGAACAACTCCTAGTTCAGGTTCTCACCCAATGCAAACATCTTTACAATCTTTGTTTTTTTGTTTTTTGTTTTTACAATCTTTGTTTGAATACTTCCACTGGCTAAGAACATATGCCTCTTTTTTTTTTTTAAGATTTTATTTATTTATTCATGAGAGACACAGAGAGAGGCAGAGACACAGAGAGGGAGAAGCAGGCTCCATGCAGGAAGCCCAACGTGGGACTCGATCCCACGTCTCTGGGATCATGCCCTGAGCTGAAGGCAGGCACTTTAACCACTGAGCTGCCCAGACATCCCAGAACATACACCTCTTAAAGTAATTAGAGAACCATGTGTCTGGCCCAATGTAGGTACTCAAGTGTGCTTATGAAGGAATAAAATTCCAGCACTTTAAGGGTAGGAGCTCACTACGTCTCAGTATACTACAATTATTAATGATGTCTCTAATGACAAAACAAAATCTTTCTATAGCTTTAATCTCCTGGACCTAACCTTATGCTCTGGAACGACAAAGGACATATTCACTCTTCTTTCCCATTGTTGCTCTTTCAAAGATTTATCATGATCTTATTTTTAAAAAACAAAACCAAAAATAATCCTCTTCCTACCATCACTCTTCTGTGCCTTTTTAAGCTAACAGTTCTAGATCTTTTAAATGCCATTCATATAACATAATATGAAAACCATTAATCCTGGTTGCCTTCTTCTAGATGTTATCTAGCTGAAGATCTTCTTAATATGCAGCATTTACAACAAAATCAGTATGGACTCAGTGAAGCAGAGGACAGTGGCACTGTATCTCCCTAAGCAGATAGCATATTTCTATGAACATCTTCCAAATTTTGGAATGTTCTGATAGCTGAAGTACACAACTGGTGCATATTAAACTTAAAGTTTTCTAAAATCTTGCTGGGTTTGTCACATAAGTTGGTATCTTTGCCATTCTCTATTTTTATAATCTAACTGAAGGGGGTTTTTGGACTACTAATATAGTTTACGTGGCTGATTTCAACTCATTGGTCAGCTACTCTGTGAAGCTTGTGGGGCTGAAGCACTCTGAAAGCTCTACAATAAGTAATCAGGATAATAAGGTATCTGTTGACTCACTCTAGTTACAAAGCAAGTTAGTAGTAGAGTTGAGATCAGAAGATACTATTCCCATTTTCCAGCCAGAGCTCTCTGCTCTGTTTCATGGATAATGATGATGTTAATAATGAGGATAGTCATATGCAAAGCAAGTGACACTTACTGGGAGCTTACTACATGCCAGGTATTGTTCCAAGAATTTCACGTATATTAATCCTCACAACAACTCTATAAGGTGTAGGTACTACTGTAATCTTCATTATGCAAACTGGGGAAACTAAGGTAGTAAGCAATCAAGTAACTTGCCCAAGATAGCATAAATAGGAAATGGCAGAACTAGTAGTATTCAAATTCAGATAAATAGTTTGGTGCAATTACCTACTTACTCCCCAGAACTGAAGGAGCCACCCAGGAGTGACCCAAGTACTGGAAAAGATCCCAAATGACCTCTCCTACTGGTCAAGAGTCACTGCCTCCCCACAGACAAGGAAGCAAAAGGGTAGATATACAACTCTTTTATAAGGATTAATTTACAGCTCCCAGCCTGAGGTGCCCACACTGTCATACTTACCTCCATTGCTCCTCTGGGGAGAGGTCTGACATATCAACCTGCAGAAAAAAAACACCAAAAAAATCGATCAATGTCTTAGAACTGTGCCTGCCCAACAGAAGGTGCTCATATATTCATCATTATCTTCAAGGAATTATGAGAATCTTCAACTGTCACAATCTTTATTGAAGCCTTCCCTGATACTCTATTTCCTACCGATCTCTCTATTCTCTAACCACTTAGTCTCAAGTCTATGACTGACAGTATATTGCATATCTGTGCTAAGCAATAAGGACAGGAGAGTATAATAATAAAAAAAAAAAAAGGACAGGAGAGTAAACCTAACTCCTAAGATGTTCACAGCCTAGTTGAGAAATCACACATACATACAGAAAATGTCTTTGTTATATACTGAGGACTAGCTATGAAAAAATAAAGAAGTGGCTTCTGATCCAATTTGCAGTGTTATAGACTGGCAAAGACTTCCTGGAGGAGATGTGAAATATTATCCAGATGAAGAAATGAGAGAAATGTGCTCCATGCAAAGGGACTAACATAAAGGAATAAAGTTGTACCACATACGAATAAGTGAGTATGGCTAGAGCAAAAAGTATGAATTAGGATTAGTGGGAGATGAAGCTAGATAAAATATTCTATGTCTTTGACTCTAAATGGCCCCCTGGCAACAGGCAGAACATTAGGCTAGGGAAAACTAAGTTTTAGTCCCTGCTCTGCTACTAGCAGCATGATCTTCCAATTTCAAAGTTCTGGTTCTGTTAGTCTTGTCCTTTAGAGCAGGGCTGCTCAATCTTGGCACTAGGGATATTTGGGGCTGGATAATTCTTTGCTGGGATGAGGAGCTCTCTGTACATTGTAGGATATTTTAGCAGCATCCCTGGCCTCTACCCACTAGATGCCAAAAGCATCTATCTCCACAGAAGCCACAAAGTTTACAGACATTGTAAAATCTCCCCTGTGGGATGAAAATTGCCTCCAATTGAAAACTACTCTGTACTAAACTGCTCTATACTAAATTCTTTGAGTTCAGGACTCAAGTCTTCTACTTCCTTATAGCCATACAAAAGCATAACCAAGTGTCAGTACATAAGTCAAAAACATCACATTGACCTGAGCAACATTTTGTTTCTTGATGTAGAGAAAAGAGACAAGGCCTCAGTCAAACGAATCAACTAACAAATATTCCTTTAGTACTTATGATGTTCAAGGCCCAATATCCCAATGTTCCTATGATAAGTTCAGAAAAGTACTTTACACAGAATGTTTGAAGTAAAACTCTCCTACTGAGTCAAATCAGCACATATTTACCAAGCACCCTTTATGTGTGTATACTGTGTACTCCCATCACTATTTAAGGAGGACTTTCTGATTTTTATATGTCCCAGCCAAGTTAATTAAAAGGGGGGGAGGGGCACCTGGGTGGCTCAGTGGTTGAACATCTGCCTTTGGCTCAGGTCATGATCCCAGAGTCCCACAACAGGCTCCTTGTAGGGAGCCTGCTTCTCCTTCTGCCTATATGTGTCTCTCATGGAAAAAAAAAGGGGGAGGGGGGTATCCCAAGCCTTCACCCGGCCAATCAGGATAATGAAGTCAACCACCTCCTCCCTTTTCCTACTTTACACAATGCCTCATAGAATGTATTCATGTGTCCAAACTCAGGTCTTCATCTTCCTAGAATGACAGAAGTCCCAGAATATCCCAGGACAAGTGGATATAAGAAATGAAAATGCTGGAACACCTGGATGGCTCAGCAGTGGAGTGTCTGCCTTCTGCTCAGGGCATGATACTGGTCCCCGGATTGAGTCCCACATCAGGCTGCAGTCCTATATCAGGTTCCCTGCGAGGAGCCTGCTTCTCCCTCTGCCTATGTCTCTACCTCTCTCTTTGTGTCTCTCATGAATAAATAAAATCTTAAAAAAAAAAAAAGAAATGAAAATGCCCATCTGGGCAGTATCTAAACAGACAATTAAGGACCACATTTCTTTCTTTCTTTTAAAGATTTATTTATTTATTTGAGAGAGAGCATGCATGCTTGCACAGGTAGGGCAAGGGGGAGGGAGGGAGGGAGGGATAAGCATACTCCCTGCTGAGCACAGAGCACAATGTGGGGCCTGATTCCAGGACCCAGAGATCATGACTTGAGCCAAAACCAAGAGTTAGACACCTAACTGACTGAGCCACCCAGGTGCCCCAATGTAACTGCTTCTTAAGGCCAGGACCAGGATTAAGGATTAAGGTGGAGATAAGCAAGGGACCTAAGGCTCAAAATTTAAGGTGGCACTCATTGTCAGGTACTGATTCTCCATATACATGACCTTGAAAGTGCCTTGTTTGCTTCACCCTAGTCCTGGCCTGCTTCTGTCTATCTTACTCCCAACCCATAAACCTGGAAGATCCCACAGAGCCAAGGAGAATACACTGCATTGTATCTTTCAAGGAAAATAGAACAGAGCTGAACTTAGACTAAGCACTCAGTGAGTACTACAGGAATTGAACAGAATTCTCTCCAATACAATAAGTATGATGACAAATCAGCACCCCACCTGGAGATGGAGATGCTTAAATGGGAGTGTACACAAACACTTGAAAAACACTTAACAAGCATCTGGGAAAGAAGTATTCATTTGACAGCAGGAGGCACCCAGAAAACCACATTTAAAAACTACATGTCAGAACAAAAAGAAACAACACAACTACATCTTCAAAGAAGCAAGACAAGCACCATTTTACATTTCCATCTCTCCTCTGAAGGGAAAACTAAGATCCAAAGAACTGGGCCAGCCACGGAATGCTTCTTCATGAGAGTGTGGTCAAGCGTGCTACTATCTATACATACCTTAGTATGCATATATATCTAGGAGTAAAATCATTGGGTCATATAGTAATTCTATGCTTAACCTTTTGAGAAACTGCCAAATTGTTTTCCACAGCAGATGCACCATTTTACATTTCCATCAGCATTGTATGAAAGTTCCAATATCTCCACATCCTCAACATTTGTTATTCTCTTCTGGATAAAAGGATTCAAGCTAGTGGGAAATAGTATCACAATGTATTTCCAATTTTACATTTCTCTGAAGGATAATGATGCTGAGCACCTTTCTTTATGTTTATTGGTCATTTATATATGACCTGAGCACCTTTCTTTATGTTTATTGGTCATTTATATATAACTCCAGAGGAGTCTGGAGAAAAAGTTTACTCAGATCCTTTGTCCACTTCTAAAAAGTAGACTATTTGAGATCAATTTTAAGCTCATAGCAAAACTGAATGGAAAATAGAGATTGCCCATATGTCCCCTGCACCCAAATATGCAGAGCCTCCCCCATTAACAATATCCCCCCACCAGAGTAGTACCTTTATTCCAACTGATGAACCTACACTGACACATAATTTTACCCAAAGTTCATAGTTTACCTTAAAGCTCATTATTGTTATATATTCTACTGGTTTGGGCAAATGTATAATGTATAAAGAGATGTATGCAACACTCGATTATCATACAGAATAGTTTCACAGTCCTAAAAATCCTGTCTCTTTTCATGGTTTGATTGTTCATTTCTTCTTAGTGAATAATATTCACAAAGATATTCCACCATCTGGATGTACCACAGTTTATTTATCCACTCACCTACTGAAGGACATCTTGCCTGCTTCCAATATTTGGCAACTATGAATAAAGCTGCTATAAACATCTGTGTGCAGGTCTCTGGATGGACACAGATTTTTAACTCTTACGGGGAAACACTAAGGAGCACAATTACGGGATTGCATTATAATAGAATGTTTAGTTTTCTTCTCCTTCAATACTGTATTCGCTATTCTGGGTCTCTCTCTCTCTCTCTCTCTCTCTCTCTCTTTTTTTTTTTTTTTATGATAGACACAGAGAGAGAAAGAGGCAGAGACACAGGCAGAGGGAGAAGCAGGCTCCAAGCACCGGGAGCCCGATGTGGGATTCGATCCCGGGTCTCCAGGATCGCACCCTGGGCCAAAGGCAGGCGCCAAACCACTGCGCCACCCAGGGATCCCCTCTGGGTCTCTTTATATGGGCCTCTCCATATAAAGTTTAGAATCAGTTTGTCAATATCCACAAGAGAACTTGCTGGGATTCTGACAGGCATTGTCAAGTTGGCATAAATCAAGTTGGGAAGAACGGATATCTTGATAACATTGAGTCTTCCTATACCTGAACATAGAATATCACTCCATTTATTTCTTCTTTATTTTTTAAATGCTTAATTCATTTATTTGAAAGAGAGAGAACAAGCAAGAGCAGGCAGAGAGGCAGGGAAAGGGAGAGAGAGAGAATCCCAAGCCGACTCCAGGCTGAGTACAGAGCCCAATGTGGGGCTCAATCTTACAACCCTGAGATCATGACTTGAGCCAAAGCCAAGGGTGGCATGCTTAACTGACTGAGCCACACAAGTATCCTAGTTCTTCTTTAATAGTTTGATCAGAGCTTTACAGTTTTCCTCACATAGGTCTGACAAACATTTTGCTAGAGTTGTTAGTATCTATAGAGCTAAATTGTACTGTTTTTAATTTCAAATTACACTTGTTCATTGCTGAAACATAGGAATGCAACCGGCTTTTTTTTTTTTATTAACCTTGCTAGATTTATATTATCCTGAAACCCCGCTATAATCAAATAGTTCCAGGAGGGTTTTTTCTTTATTATTCTTTTGGATTTTCTACACAATTATGTCATCTGTGAATAAAGATGTTATTTCTTCCTTCCAAATCTGTATAGATTTTATTCTCTTTTCTTATTTCTTTAGTTAGGACTAATGATTTTGAAAAGCATGGAGAGGGGACATCATTACTTTGTTCCTAAGCTTATGGGAAAGGTTCAATCTTCTCACCATCAAGTATGATGTTAGCTGTAACTTTTTTTGTATTCTTTATCAAGTTGAGGAAGTTCCTCTCTATTCCTAGTTTTCTGAGAATTTTTATTTTAAATAGGTATGGGATTTTATCAAAAGGTTTTCCTATTTCTATTCATACATTTATGTAATTTTTCTTCTTTAACCTGTCGATGTGA